GAGGAGGAGTCGAACTAGCACCTTTTCTTCTGATGGACTGCATCACTAACCCTTCTCTTATTCCTCTACTGATATATTTATATAATACTAACCACAAATAACAGCCATGGGATACGATGCTCGGCGGGGAGTGCTCCAACACTGCATAATTTGCGCGCTCTTAGACTTGCATTTCGTGGTAAGGTGCGTGCTCATAGTACATTATTTAGTTGTTTTCTGTTTTTTTTTATTTTTTTTCCGAGGTTGCTATGAATATCTTGTGACGATCAGACTGCATGATTATTGGTTAGTAACAAAGATCGTGGACATTTAAATCGTCCATCTTTTTCATTAATTTTCCTTTTGTCGAGGTTCGTATTTTGAACACGAAAGCGTTTGCGTGGGTTTCCATGCATAGAACGCGATGACGTTCTTCGACATATCGTTCATGTTTACATGCTCTGAATTTCTCAAATTCTTCAGTTATCAGAAATTTTATTAGAACTCGTCGACAAACACCAGATTCAGATTCTGAGTGTCAATACGAAGTTTTTTAGGACTCCCTTGTTTGGTGCGCAATTGAAAAAATTCTTCGAAGAGTAACTGGTTAAAAGCAAAAACCAATTCTCATTTTGTAGCATTCCAAAAAAGGTTAGCTCATATGTATTCGTCAAATCCTCACTCATTACGATCCCATTTATCATCGAGTGATTTGGGCGCACAACAGTGAAGAGCCCATTCGACGTTGTCGTCGATCAGAGCGGCTCGTTAGGTTCACTTGATCAACGAACGAACCAAATCAAGAGAGGAATTTCACTATTTTCTCATGATATCCTTCACTTACTCTTCGGTGACGTGATGTGAAGAAGTGGGCATTTGCAGGGATCTGCAGCTCGACAGGCTTCTGTGATGTCACCTTTGCTTCCGGAAGGAAATGTCGAACTTTTAGTTTTGGTGACCTTCTCAAGTGGATGAATCATCACTATATAACACACTTCGACCCCCGAAAATAAATATTGCTTCGATAAGGCGGAGAATCGTTGGAGACTGTGTGACTTGTACCACTTCTATCACCTGCCGTCCCGTTGATCATCGACAGAGTCGAGCGTGCGCCGGTTAGTTTTCCATTTGCTCACGTCGAGCCCAAGAGTAGGCCAGTGGCAGCGCATCTTTTCTTTTAGAGTCTTTCAAAAAACTCTGAGCAAAGAAACGGTGGTCTTCCTAGTATGTGTTTGACGCCTCGTGTCGCTAACAGCGCTTATGCATCTGTTGACGTTCAGACACACTACATGGTGGGCCCATCTGTTTTTCAACATTTTGGCGTACACAACAGCATCTCTGGTTGAACGTTGAAGTAAATCGAGACTTCCGATTCTCTCTCGCACTTACGTCACATGGACTACCCCAACCAACCACTTTTCCACTGGGCGTTCAATAACGCGAAGAGATCTTTCGTCCTAGTGAAGTAACAACCATGATTCCCACAAGTTCACTGGGACAGGAAGAATCATGGAGTCGAAGGGAAGGCACGGGGTCGCGTGTTTTTATTCCTTTTCAAATCATCATCGATGCTGTTCAGCTCCACATGCCGCTTGCTTCCTGCTGCTCAACTCTAACGCTAAGTCGTTCATCATTTTGATTTCCCCACCTAGACAGACGTAGCTGAAGCGTTCTTAGATATTCCATTCGTTGACCGTGAATGCGGCTTACGTTAACCAATCTGTTCTTCACGAACATCGGTTTTGTGAAATTCAGACGAAGGCCAATCTTTCCAAAGGCGTTAATAAAATCGGCGAGTGCTCGTTCCACCCAGCTAATGCTTAATCTTGTGAGAGCGATATCGTCGGCGAGCCGAAGAATGTGAAATTCCCGACTATCTATCTCCGCTCTCATGTTGTCCCATTCCAATTGTCGCGTGACATTTTCAAAAGAGGCTTCGAATATTTTCGACGAGATGGTGTGACCTTGTAAAACCGCTCTCTTTGCGTCGATGCTAATATTAACATACAATTATGATACATTCGTGTATATCTCACAAAAGGTCTTTGTGTAGCGGTTAACTACGTTCTGTCTGCCTAGAGGCGTGACCGCCTCTCTCTTGACGGAGTCAAATTCTTTACTTAAGCTGATTAAGGTAAAAGAAAGCGATCCCTTACATTCCTGCAATGGTGCAAAAGATAAGGTTTTTCGAAAATAATTGAAGATATTCAGGATCAGAGGTCGCGCGCTGCGCAGTGCTTGGAGGCGCCCCCTGTAATACGCATTGGATCGATCTCGCGCCCCAGGCTCCCCTTCCACCCGTCAAATTGGAACCAGACTTCCCTGAGAGGATAGTACCGCTGAATCGATAGTTCAGTTTCCTCCAATGGGCTTAATGAAGTTGAACTCATGGCGCATCCCACATAGATTGATGAACGCTAAAACCATTATCCTTTTATCCATTATCCTTTCTGTTTGATGAACAGAAGTGGAAAGAATTGTTCAATCAATGCCGAGGTTAATAGAAAGTCGGACGTGGGAGTTATTATCCTTATATTTCATTCTGGATCAAATACAATCGCTCTACCATCGCATCTGTACTGCGATATCCAGGCGGATCCATTTGAATGTAACATTCCGTTTCTAAAGTGGCTCGTACAATACAATCCTCATAGACGAGAACAAATCCATTCACACATGGATGAATGTCTCTCCTTAAACAGAGAAGATATTTGGCAAATTGGAGCAACAGAAAGAAGTAGTCCATCTGCTGGATTCACATGTGTTTCAGGGAAGTAGAACATCGATTTTGGTCCACGAGCAAGCCCTTGACCGCTAACTCAGTTCGCAAAAGTTTGCCTCGCGACTGACAGGCAAGGGAACACTGTGTCAGGGAGGTTCTAGGAAGCCACATGCTACCGTCAGCTCATGTCCGAACTTACAAAACACTGCAGAAATTTAATAAAGGAAGACCTTAGAGAAGAGCAGTAGATATGTCTGAACTTGCAGAGGCTGGGAAGAGTATTCGCAGAACCCCCGAGAATTGGCCAATCGCAAGACCGAGAAGATTGCACTCTGACACCTAAACGGAACAGTCACAACTACCAGAAAGGCAATGGGGAAGATCAGTCACGATTACTACTCGGATCTTTTCACTAGCCATGTCCTCCTGCCCTCATATGATATAAAGATGGATGGATATGTAGTCCCACCGGTTTCCGTCGTAAAGTCAGACATACTATTTCGTCGGTAAAGAATCGAAAAACAACTAGTCTACCGAGGACAAAAGTTGAACACCTTAAGAGTCTTCCGCCAGTTGTCATAAGCACACTAGCTAGGCTCTTCATATCCATAAAAATTCAGGGTTCCCTATTCAATGGAAGACCAGTAAGACCGTGTTACTGTTCAAGAAGGCTGAGTCATGTGAGCAGGCAGGATTTCGAGAAGTATTCGATGCGATGGACCATATTCAGACGATTATACGACTCACTGAAGAATTGCAAGAGTGCAGGAGACTGCTCTATCTCATTTTCATCGATTTAAAGAAAGCTTTTGACTCCGTTGACATAAAAGCAGTCGTAGATATCCTGGATATCTAGGACATCGTTGGCCAGTAGTGAACAAAGACTCTTCTCGAGCTATATAAAAGCTTCACAACCAAAATATCAAATTGTAAATTGTATAACGATATTAACATCGGAGTCAAAAGAGGTGTTAAGCAAAGCGATACATCTCGCGAAAATTATTTACCACCACCCTCGAGGACGTCATGCGAACATTGGAGTGGGATAATATGGGAATGACAATCGATGGTGGGCAGTTACACCATCTTCGCTTTGCTGATGACATCGTCCTTATGACACCAAACATTAGACATGTGGAACGAATGTCTTCCGACTTTGATAAAGCTTGTGGAAAGACTGATCTTAGACCAAATCTCACAAAAACGATGTTCATGAGGAACGGATTGGTTATGAATACATTTTATATGATCTTATAAACTGATCTTCTTGAGCTGATACGAGGTTGGTATAGGTTTTCGCTGTCGTTGTTGTTGTTGTTGTCGTTGCTTTTTGTGTTGTTGATCGATGGCTGACGTTTCAGCGATTTTACCTTCCTCAGAGCCGTGCTCTTACGAATGGGACTCGTCTCAACAACAACAACAACAACGACAACAGGAACGAACACCTATGCCATCCTCGCACCATCTCAAGAAGACTAGTTTATAAGACCGTATAAATAAATATATCAACTATCTATGCCGAGGTTTATAGAAAGTCGGCCTTTTGATTAACTGAATATCTCCAAACTCTCCAGCTGCGTTCATATGGGTCGAGAAATCAACATGATAGGCGACTTAGCTCCTGAGTTGAGCAGGACAAAGCAAGCGAGCGGCTTGAGGCGCCTTCTATAGCATTACGAATATAGTGGAGACAGCAAAGAATACCCGACTACATGCCCACATTTTCGGCTCGACGATTTTTCGTACACTAACCTTTACTTCAGAATCCTGGTCGCTGCGTAAGCAGAATGAAAGATCACTCAGTGTTACCGAACGCGCGGTCAAAAGGACGACTCTAGGAGTATCCCGTATCACTCTAGTTATGGAAGGGATCCGAAGCTCCGACCTGCGTCATCGATCAAAAATCAAAGATGCCGTTCTATACACCAAACTGTCGAAGATAAGGTGGGTCGGACACATAGTGCGTATGAAGGACAACTGATGGATAACAAGCGCTAGTGATTGGATTTTTTGGGATGTTAAACGCACAGCACTAAGTCCACCAACATGATGGTAAGAGCTTCTCAGGAAGACTTTAGAAGAAAGACATGATGCTCAACGAGTCCCCAGAGCGCGCGACGCCCATTGGACTGCTCTCGGAAGCGACGACGAAAAGCGGAGAGCTTGCTTGTGCACGCGCAGGTCGGTTCACAGTGAACGGGAAAACAGGTGACTTCGTTAACTCACTGCCATTCTCTGAAACTTGCTATGCATTCCTTCAATTCAGCGCTCATACATGTCGATTGATTTTATCTTCAGGATGGCCTCGCTCACTTTATTTGTTTTATTGGCAACTATTTGCTTTTGCGTGGCGCTTGAGTGCTACGCAGGATTTAAGTACGTCGCTGGAAGAAGTATTGGTGAGTAATAGTTCTTTGGCTTACAGATTTTTCGTCTTCTTTCTTAGCAATCGCGAGGTTGTTAAACAGCATATCTTTACTTCCGTACAATAACACACATATAACACAACCGCATCTGACGTTTCAGCAGAATCGCCTTCTTCAGAGCCTGGAAGAGTACACTAATACGCAACTCACCAGGTTAAACGCTTCAACAGCACAGACAGAAAGATGAAAATCTGCACGACAATTACAAGATCTACGGCTTCTAGAAAAAACCCACCACTTTTTTCACCTGCCTTCCACCGAGGAAGAACAGCCGCTCAGAGTCGCATATGGTTGACGACTGCACCTCCCCATCAACATCGATGCGAAGGTACGGAGCACTCCTCTCTGCTTCTCCCACGCTGAGAAGGAGTCTGGCGTTTCCGTCAGGAAGCCGAGATAAGAGTAAACCAATAGTAACGCCAGGATCCGCCACCGTCCTGGTATCAAAGTCGCATGGTGGCAAATCTCTCTTCGATCCACAAAAGCTGCCACTGCCCGCGGAGGTGAAGACCTGGGGCAGACTTTGGCCAGGCTGACCTTGGGATTCCGGGGAACCACAATGGCTTAGCCAACAAACCTCCGATAAATGATGATTATGCTGGGGCCCACACAACCAGTAAGGACGGGCCGTTCAAGTGTCAAGGGTCTTTTATAGTCGTCGATTTACGGCTGAGCTTGCCTACAGTTCCAATTTCCTTCTCTTACGAAAAGCTTCATTCGAAGAAGGAATTATGGTATTGGACATTTTCGATCACTGATTTGAGTCCGCCGTATGGCAGCAAATCCAGTACTCTTTACTATTCGCTTTTATATATGAAAATAGAAAAATTCGAAGCAAAATAATTGGCAGTTAAAACCCATTTTTTATCCGTTTAGCACTGTCTTCTAGGTACGTCCACAGTCACTTGTTCATCATCAACCGATTACTGTTACAATGCAACGGCAGACATCTCACAACTGAACCAGCTGTCGATGGCCGGGTGCTCGACGACTCGATGCTTTGTGAGGTTTTGTACCCATTCTTTTGTATAAATTCATTTTAGATATTAATGCTTTATTCCATTTTAAGTTGAGCCGGAATAAATGCATCAACCAGATATTGAACGGCCGAGAAATCAAGTTCTGTTGTTGTAATTCTGGTGATCTGTGCAACTCGAAATATTCGGTCAGTTTTTATTCCAATCAAACTGCGTTCTGCTAAGTTTTTTTCCCATCTCGTTCACCTATTATCTCGTTAACAATAGGGTTATTTGGAGGACCATTTATTATGCTCAAAATGGTAGGGATACTACATCTGTTGGGGTGCGTGTAGAGAAATGATTAGAGGTGTCATGCAATACTCATGTCTTCATTACTTCGATCCCGCCCCTCGGTTCGTCAAACCGTGCATTTCCCCGGGTCGGAAATTTCCTATCAAACTTGTTTGGAAGGACAGAATCGCTGACTTGGTACATCAGTAGGCTACCAAACGTTACTCTGTAGGCCATACATCTATTCATTCACCTCTGCGAATCTCCACAATGTCGAATGTATATCCTGATCCTGAAGGATCGATCGGTATCGAATTCTATGTATTTTTTAAAGACAATTTGCTATTAAGGAACACTATGTCAAAACTGACGAAGCCAGAAATCTTTCATGTGGCGAGGTTGCTTGATTACGAAATTTGCTATTCATAGGAAAAAGTTGATGAAAGAATATTCTTTGTCGTCTGTATTCTGCAGTTTGTTCTTGGTTCAAATTTGCAGACTGATTCCTATTTTCTATTTCTCCTACTCAGATTTAGGATGTATCCATTAGGCCGAGGTGAACTCCCGTCATTGGATAACTTAATGTTCTTGTGGTGAAGTGTTTTAGGATGCTTAACGAAAGATTAGTCAGCAAAACAGTTTGTCTTCTCTGTAAATGACTGTTTCAGAACCTCACGTTCTTCGAGAAGGTGAAGGAACGGATCAAGGATGTCACGAAAGTCATTGGTTAACGATGAAGCGAATTTGAACTCCTTATAAACGCGGCTGTCGGTTCTTTTACGCTTTTACCAACGCTGGCCCTCAATCACTTTTTACACACGGATTTATGATAAAGTGTTGACAACGTTCCTGACTAATCGCTCAAGTTGCAAACTAATTTAGTCGTCGCCCAGAAACGTATCTAAGAGTAACCCAAAACAATAAATTGTGAGTGTTCTGGGAGAGACGCACTAAGATGATACCAAAACAACCCACAGGCGCAAGGACTGGCCACTCTTCGTGGTGTTCACCTAAGGACCTTCTAGGTGAGTCGGTTTCAAAATTTAATTGCAGGATGAGCTGAGTTGGAAAAATAGGTGAGGTTCATACAATTGACTAACTGTCCATCTTAACAATTAAAGATAACGTCATGAAATTCTTACTTCGGCAATTCCCAAGCTCTAGTCATTGAACAAATGAAGAAGTAACCGAATTAAAAGTATTATTGTAACATTTCAGAGTAGATAACAGGAAGTGAACGTTATTTATTTTTATATTTATATTTCAAAGAAACCGCCTTTCACGTCCACAGGGCGGCTCCCAGCACACTTTAAATTCGATTCATTTCCTTGCATTCGTAACCCACAAAGGCCTTCGAAATTTTCGTATGCGGGTTCGGCTGCTCCTCGGCGATTTTCCTTTCGTCATGAATCTCTTTGCTCGTAGAGTAGATTCTGCCTGTAATCATGAGATAACAGCGCTACAGTGTTCCTGTTTGAATAACAAAAAGTGCACCTTTACCAGGGAAGCCAGGTATCAAATTTCCTATCCTAGAGAGATGAGAAACATGGTAATCCTGACGTGGGTGCGAACCAGCACGTGAATGTTAACCATAAAAACAAAAGTTATGAGTAACTGTTTTAAATTATTTATGGACTATATCAGCCTTTTATTTGCTGCCTACTACAATTGTTCATGGAAGGGTGTGACGTTAAATACAGCCACAATAATGCTGAGATATTCGCAAAGCTTGGAACTCGGTCCAGATCTAACCACGATTTCCCTTCGAGGAGACTAGCGTGTTACACACTGCATCAGTCACGCTGAGTGCTTGTTGATGATATCGTTAGGTAAAAACTTGTAGCGAGAAAGGCAAAGCAAGGACCTCAGTGGTGCAATGTGTAACACGCAAGCCTCTAGAAAGTTTGTCGCTGCTCGATCTAGCCTGGGGCCAAGTTTTCTAATATCCCTGTTTCACTGTGGTTGCATTTACGTGCTCCTTAGACATCTAAGTAAGAAAGTGGTACATTCACTTAGATGCGCCGAGTGAACAGATGTGCATCAGTGTTCATTGTTTTTGTCTTCAAAAAACATTCACACAGCTATTACAAGTTACCTTAATAAGTAAACGTAAAAGGAACTTAACAAGTACTTCACGGTTTCTCTAATATCAATGTTTCCATATTGTTATCATTCACTCCCAAACACGCCTAAATATCTGAATATTTCAGTGATGTAAGAGCGCTCCAAACGCTAAAGAAAAAGGGAGAAAAAAAATACTAAAATTAAAAAATGCTTCAAAATTTGAAAGTTCTCTTAGTATTTTGCAAGGTGTATTCATCTAGAAAACGCTGCATAGTATAAGTGCTTATAATAAAAACGACTAGGAAATCGACGCTCAACATCTTTCACACTAAAGATACTTTGCTTAATCGCCTTTGCGACGACAGCCAGTGTTAAACCTGCACCAGATAACATGATCATTATGAGTATTAGTATGAGCGTTATGTGTGTGTGTGTGTGTTGTGTGCGTGCGCGCGCACGTGTTTGTATGCCTGTCGGTTTGTATGTGTGCATGTGTATACGCCAGTGGATAGGTATGTGTTACAGATATTTATATCCGTCATCATTAACCTGGACTGAGCCCTGTACGATCCTTCGGTGCAAATGAGACAATATAGCGCATCATGCACTTCATGCACCTCCTTTTCGCTTTACTCTGTGAGCGATCCAGCAAAGTCACTCTTCACTCTGCCGTTTTGTTTTTATTTCTCTCAAACTACCTGGATATATATAACTTGTATGCCTTGTATGTACACATATAAATCGAAATTGTCTGCGATTACATGATCCACAAAGATCGCGAAGCTTAGATGATCTATGCTATCAATAGCGGTTATTGCTGTCTGGTCGTCAGCACTAGTGTTCCTGATGAGCCAACGCGATATTTTCCGTGCATGATTAATTCCACCACATTCAATATTCCAATGGGCCCTTATTTTTCGGCGTAAAAGTTTTAGAGGAAGCATTGTTTCCAGAAGAATTCTTCAACGGACTCCAGAGGCGGGGAGAGTTTGACGTAATCCTAGGCGGACATCGTACAAAATTGGACGTGGTGTCCGTCAACATTTCTTTTGTTCCTTGCGAAGAAGCTACTCTGTGTTTAACGGGGTTGAAATCTTGGTTTAGCATTTTCTCCGCTTGGTTATGGAAGTGTTTGGTTGGGTAGACTGCAGTCAACTTGACCTTTTCAGGCCCTGTGGGAGGCAAAATTCGTCGAAACGTCAGCTTATTCTTGAATAGAGAACAAAGCAACACCTCGCGCTTGCTCAACAAGAATATAGAGAATTATTTGATTAACAGCGAGGGTATCGGAAAGTCGGTCGTTGTCGGTTTCTTGTGTTGTCCATTTTCTGAAACAGGAATCATTTGCACAAAAATGCTGTCCGTCAGTTTAAAATATCGAAATCATATATGGGCCAAAGTCACACACGATTCTGAGAAATTGCTATCCTGCATGCGAATGATTTCCTGATTTAAAAATGTTCACATTTAAAACAATACCTTTGCAAGACACTTCACTAAGGGGAAATGGACCAAAGAACATATGGGAAAAAACATATGGGAAAAAGAAAATAAATATATTTATCAACCTCGTGCAAGTTTATCAAGAAAGAATACATATTGATTAGTCACACCGAGGTTCAAGGAAAGTCGGTTTCGAAATATTACTACGCTTTGTGCTAGCTGATAAAAACGCCGACTTCTGCACGATGTGCGCAATGATGTCCGGAAGAAATACAAGTTGTTACCACCGGACATTATCATTATCCATACACCATCAGCATCGTGTATAAAAGGGCATCACTGAGTAAGGATGCCTCATTCGAGAAGATGGCTCACTGAGGAAGACCTGGCTGGACACGAAGGCGAAGCTGCAACGTCGAGACGAACAACAAGCATGGACCATCGACTCGGATCATCGGCTCTGAGGAAGACGAAGACGTCGAAACGTTAGCCGAAAATAAATATATTTATCAACCTCGTGCAAGCTTATCAAGAAAGAATACATATGGGAGAAGGTTTAGGGGTTAATGTTACTATACTGACTCGATAATCGAGAACGCCGTCTCATGAAATTATTGATGCATTTTGAAACAATTTCAAAGGGTAAAAAATGATCCGTTAAAAATAAATGCCCCTCAGTTGTCTCATATGTCAGATAAATCTTATAAGCAGATAAATGCGGTTACTATTTTGAGTTAGCAACCTATTAAATGCCGATGGTGGCCGAAAAACCGTCGTTCGTTCGGAACACCACTTCTATCAACCCATCCACTGCTGAGTAAACTATCTTCGATAGAACTTCCTACACAGGGAAATTTGGTACGTATTTGTGCATTCTGTGTTATGCGTTGATGTAGAGGCGTTTATTCATTTGCCCAAAACGCTTTGCTATGGATGTCTTCATTGCAATAGTGTTCTACCTCCAATTGAACATTGCTCGTTCTCAGAAGAATACGTGATTAATGTTTGTACGCAGTCTCTTTTCCATCGCATTGGCTGTTCACCCAATCACGGCAAACCGGTTTAAATTCTGTTTTCAAGTGACCAGGAATATTTTTAAAATTTTTGTTAGCATCTAGGGTTTCATTTGAACTGGTTTCCAATATGGATGCATACCAATAAGTACTTCCATGGTTTAACTTCTAACAAGTTTGTATGCGTGCTGTCTATGCGTGCGTGCGTGGCGTGCGTGTGTGTGTGCCTGTATGTGTATGTATGTATGCATGTATATATATGTGCATCTATCGGTTTGTCTACGCGCATGTGTATATCCCAATGGATAGGTACGTGTTGATATTTGTATCCGTCATCACTAATCGCAATCGAGCGTTGTACGATTTTTCTGTGGCAGTGAGTCAACACGGCCCACCATGTACTTCGTGTGCCGCCCTTTCACGGTACTCTGTGAGGGACCCCGCAAAGTGACTCTTCACTCGCAATTTTTTTTTTATTTTCCTCAAACTACCTGTATATATATAACTAGCATGTATACATATAAATCAAAGTTGTGTGTGATTGCGTGATCACAAAGAACTCGAAGCTCAGCTGATCTATGCTATCAACTGCAGTTATTGTTATCTAATCAGCCTCAGTAACCCAGAGTTCCTGATGAGCCGACGCGACATTTCCCATGTATGATTGATTCCACCACATTCAATATTTCAATGGGCCTATTCTTCAAGATTCAGAGAAGGGCATGTTGACGTGTGCCTATTATACCACATTGGTAACGGTACGGCTTAATATCAATCCAATTTTTTCCGGCTATTTTTTCTTCCACATGGAATTTATTTCCTGTGCTTCGTCTATTTATACTTTCAGTCTATAGCTGACATTTTTCACCATAAAAGTCTCACGGAAAGCATTCTTTTTAGGAGAATTCTTCAAGGGACTCCGGAGGCGGGGAATAAATAGACGTGGTCCTAAGCGGCCATCACACAAAATTAGACGTGGTACCCGACAACATTTCTTGTGTTCTCCATTTTCTGAAAGAGGAAACATCTGCTCAAAAATGCTGTCCCCCAGCTCAAAATTTCAAAGTCAGATGTGGGACAAAGCCACACATGAATATGAGGCATTATTATTCTCCATGTGAATTATTTCCTTACTTAGAAAATGTCCACATTCAAAGCAACACTTCAACAAAGTATTTCACTAAGCGAAAACGAACAAAAAACATAAGGGT